ATAATAAACAGGGGGAAGATAAAAAGGTAAGAAATTAAGTCAGGAAAGTCAAAGCCTGGCTCAGTCACTCTACTCCCCACTCCGTTCCCACTAGTGCGGTTCCACTCCAGGTTTTCGCAGGTGCACAGCCAGTCAGTCAGTCAGCCATACAGGCTAACATCCTGGTCCCGCGTCTGTTAGTTTCCTGTTAAATAGATCCATTCAAATCCCAGGTCACATGACACACACAACCCCAGGCCTCCAGGCAGAGCCAGGGAACAATCCTGAACAAACTGCTATTCAAATCCCAGAGCTGGCGGTGGGTGTCATGTTCCACTATCCAGACCAGACCTGAACTGAACTACAGTTGACTGTTTGTCACCAGATCAGACCTGAACTGAACTACAGTTGACTGTTTGTCACCAGATCAGACCTGAACTGAACTACAGTTTACTGTTTGTCACCAGACCAGACCTGAACTGAACTACAGTTGACTGTTAGTCACGTCAAGACCCTTTCCTCTCTCTCCCTCGCTCTTCTACCCCATCCTAACCCCCAACCCACAGGGTCAGATTAGCCTAAACCACCACCCCACCCCACCTCACCGTACCCCACAACCCACAGGGTCAGATTAGCCTAAACCACCACCCCACCCCACCTCACCGTACCCCCCAACCCACAGGGTCAGGTTAGCCTAAACCACTACCCCACCCCCCCACCCCACCCCACCCCACCCCACCCCACCCCACCCCACCCCACCCACCCACCCCACCCCACCCCAACCCCACCCCACCCCCACCCCACCCCCACCCCACCCCACCCCACCCCACCCCACCCCACCCCACCCCACCCCCCCCCACCCCACCCCCCCACCCCACCCCCCCACCCCAAAAACTGGTTAATAAAAAATGGAAATATAACATTTACATAAGTATTCAGACCCTTTACTCAGTACTTTGTTGAAGCACCATTGGCAGCGATTACAGCCTCAAGTCTTCTTGGGTATGACGCTACAAGCTTGGCACACCTGTATTTGGGGAGTTTCTCCCATTCTTCTCTGCAGATCCTCTCAAGCTCAGTCAGGTTGGATGGGGAGCGTCGCTGCACAGCTATTTTCAGGTCTCTCTAGAGATGTTCGATCGGGTTCAAGTCCGGGCTCTGGCTGGGCCACTCAAGGACATTTAGAGATTTGTCCCAAAGCCACTCCTGCGTTGTCTTGGCTGTGTGCTTAGGGTCATTGTCCTGTTGGAAGGTGAACCTTCGTCCCAGTCTGAGGTCCTGAGCGCTCTGGAGCAGGTTTTCATCAAGGATCTCTCTGTACTTTGCTCCGTTCATCTTTCCCTTGATCCTGACTAGTCTCCCAGTCCCTGCCGCTGAAACCATCCCCACAGCATGATGCTGCCACCACCATGCTTCACCGTAGGGATGGTGCCAGGTTTCCTCCAGACGTGACGCTTGGCATTCAGGCCAAAGAGTTCAATCTTGGTTTCATCATACCAGAGAATCTTGTTTCTCATGGTCTGAGAGTCCTTTAGGTGCCTTTTGGCAAGCGGGCTGTCAACTCCAAGCGGGCTGTCATGTGCCTTTTACTGAGGAGTGGCTTCCATCTGGCCAATCTACCATAAAGGCCTGATTGGTGGAGTGCTGCAGAGATGTTTGTCCTTCTGGAAGGTTCTCGCATCTCCACAGAGGAACTCTGGAGCTCTGTCAAGGTGACAATCAGGTTCTTGGTATCCTCTATGACCAAGGCCCTTCTCCCCCGATTGCTCAGTTTGGCCGGGCGGCCAGCTCTAGGAAGAGTCTTGGTGGTTCCAAACTTCTTCCATTTAAGAATGATGGAGGCTACTGTGTTCTTGGGGGCTTTCAATGTTGCAGACATTTTTTGGTACCCTTCCCCAGATCTGTGCCTCGACACAATCCTTTGTCGGAGCTCGATGGACAATTCCTTCGACCTCATGGCTTGGTTTTTGCTCTGACATGCACTGTCAACTGTGGGACCTTATATAGACAGCTGTGTTCCTTTCCAGATCATGTCCAATCAATTGAATTTATCACAGGTGGACTCCAATCAAGTTGTAGAAACATCTCAAGGATGAACAATGGAAACAGCATTCACCTGAGCTCAATTTTGAGTCTCATAGCAAAGGGTCTGAATACATATGTGAATAAGGTATTTCTCTTTTTGCAAAAATGTCTAAAAAACAGTTTGTGGGGTATTGTGTGTTGAGGAGTGGTGCAGTGGTCTAAGGCACTGCATCGCAGTGCTAGCTGTGCCAGTAGAGATCCTGGTTCAAATCCAGGCTCTGTTGTAGCCGACCGCGACCGGGAGACCCATGGGGCGGCGCACAATTGGCCCAGCGTCGTCCAGGGTATGGGAGGAAATGGCCGGCAGGGATGTAGCTCAGTTGGTAGAGCATGGCGTTTGCAACGCCAGGGTTGTGGGTTCGATTCCCACAGGGGGGCCAGTATGAAAAACATAAAATAATAATAATGTCTGCACTCACTAACTGTAAGTAGCTCTGGATAAGAGCGTCTGCTAAATGAAAACTATCAATTTTAGAATAAGGCTGTAACGTAACAAAATGTGGAAAATTCAAGGGGTCTGAATGCTTTCCGAAGGCTCTGTTTTTAATCCATCTACCTTATAGCGGTTAGAGTCTCTAAAGCTCCTCTACGCCTTTACCAGATTTTATTCAAATAAACTCATAATACTGTCTGAGAACACATATCTTTTCATTTGCCAAAAACACAATGATGTGTTTGTCCACATGTTGAAACATGGTGGTTCATGAACTACTGTTGTGAGAGAAAACAGGACTGTTTTACTATTCTAAAATGTAAAAAGAAGAAACATTTGAGTAGATTCTATTTTCTCTGTGGTCCCTGTGATATGCTGGGGCCCTGAGGCAGACAGACTGTTGAGCCCATGGCTGGTCTCAGCACATCCCAGCTCTCTTCTCTGTTCTGCTCTGTTCTATCCTGTTCTGTTCTATCCTGTTCTATCCTGTTCTATCCTGTTCTATCCTGTTCTATCCTGTTCTATCCTGTTCTGTTCTATCCTGTTCTCTCCTGTTCTGTTCTCTCCTTATGGGAGAAATGCCTTACTAACGCAGGCTGACTAACCTGTATGAGACACCACAGCCATAGAACAGTGGGAGCTGGCCCTATTCTTACGTAATAACGTGTAGTCCTGTATGAGACACCACAGCCATAGA